GTAATTCTTAATTCTAATAGTCTTAAATGATTTATAAATTAATATTACAAAATTTCAATTATTTAAACTTTAAAGTTACATTTTAGAAATATTTATTTTTATATATAATTATTATTTAAAAATAAATTAAAAAAACAAGCATTCATGTGTATTGCACATGACAAGAAATACATTTTTTCAGCCAAACCTGTTCCGTACATTATCAAATTTGTAACTTGAAATAAGAGATTTACTGATGATCTGTGCTTTAAAATCATTTTATAAGGAAAGTACGTAGAAAAGAGAATTCCTACTAACATGAATTATTGGAAATGGCTGCCTGTACCTACTAACAATTTGCCATAGAATAATTAAATTATAATACATTAATTGAATTAAATATATAAATATTTAAAAGGACATCTAGTATATATTCTTTATCACAATCTTTTAAGGCTAATAGTGTCACCCTAATGAAGGCTATATAATAATTATTACCAGCCAATGAGAATTCTGGTAGCATTCTAAACAGCAAATATTTAATTATGAGGACCACAAGTAGGCTCTCTGTGTGCTATTATCGAAATTGATTTACCTCTCCAAACTTTCTCAATAATTATTGCAAATGACTCCTTGGGAGCATGTTTTTCATCAAGTAAATTTTTCCCTTGATGCTATGCTAAGGGTGTGGGAACAAAGCTAGAACAATATGTCATTTTAATTAATACGTACGATGCCTAGCAAACTACATAGGATGGAGTTTACTTATATTCGAAATATATATTAACCCAAAATTAATAATTAGTAAAGCTTACTTTTGGGGCTAACCTAACCTACTTTGGTACATTATTAAATTAAAATTTAATAATTAAGTGTGCGTATTTATTACTTATTTCATATTAATAAGAAATGAAATGAATTTTAAATTTATAAGTAAAGGTTTCTTTTATTAAATATATATGCCTTTAGCTTTTCAGAAAAAAAAGATAGGTGCATCTTTGGTCTAGAAATGTGGGTTCAAAATATATTATTGAATTTGAATCTTCGCTTCTTCTAAATCAAAATAAAAAAATTAAAATAAAACTAACCAAAAAAGAAAAAAGTGCATAGTATATATTTTGACTTTTTATATATTATTTAAATTAGATTTTATTTGGTTAATGTTAAAACACTTAAGAAATTGATTTCAAAGTGTATATCAATGTCATTATTCTTAAAAGTTTATTCGTCTTCACTTATAATATTTAATAGAATTACTGACGTATAAACTTAAAAAATATAATAAAATTCAATGATTGACAGTATTTTGCATTGACGAAATCAATCGATTGAGTACTCTTCGAAGTATAACAAGATTTTCAAATTTCTATAAAATTTTTCTACAGCAAAATGATATAAAAGAAAACTTGAAGAATGTTTAAGAAATGAAGAAAATATGTTGTTATTTTTTGTTGTACATTTTGTTGGTAAAGAATGGTACTTTTTATAAATTTAAATGCCTATTATTCTCAATAGACACGGTTTGTGTTTTTGTCAAATAATCACACCTATCTATTTCAAATAAATATACTTTTAATTTTTCCCAACAAATGTGACTTTTTTTATTTTATTTTTTTAATAAATATAATTTTTTAATAAAATTTTTCAAGAAACATTTTATTTGAAAAAGTTTCAACTTAGTTAACACTTTTGTAACATAATTTATTTATAATTTATCAAAAATAGCATTAATATTTGTTTTATATGTAAAAGCACTTAATATTTTTTTGGTCTGGAATAATTAAAATAATCATTAAATGGCGTACAAGTACAAAGTTTCCCCTATAAACGACTTTACGAGTAAGACGAGTCAACGAACGACATTGGTGAGTAATTGTTGTGAATGAGACCCATCGAATCGTGTCATACGCAAATGGGCTAAGGGACTTTCAAATCTTGAGGCTTTGAATATAAGATAAAGACAAGAGCTAGGTGCCAGGCCGTTGGCTTTTGACTTTTAATTTAATTTGCTTACTTCTCCGAAATCCATCTCATTTTCTATTCACTTGCTTCCTTAGGCAGCCTAGCCCCATGGATGAACTTTATTCATATTTAAGTTTGAATAATATTACCATTGCAAAGCGTGGCATCATCGAGCTGAATCACAGATTTTTAAATAACCAAAAAAAAATTAAAAGATAAAACCAAAATTTACTTTTATTATTTTTTGCATTTGGTAAAATTAGCCGTTAAAGGATTGATACTTATCTTATTAAGTATATTTAAAACAATAATTAATTAATTAATATATGGATATATGATAATTTTTTAACTATATTTATAAAGTAGTAAAACTTTATCATTAATATATTAATATTTTTTAAAAAAATTATTAAATTCTAATCTAACGAGAAAAATATATCCTTTATATATCATTTATCGATATATTAAAACCCTTATTAACCATAGGTTAGAGTATAAACTTTCTTAAAAATATGCGGTGTTCTAACTTATCCATTGCCGCTGAAGTAGTTGCTGAATGATTGAAAACATGGATGACCATTAAATGAAGCAATGACCATTAAATTTAAATCCTGATTAAATTTTTTTTAAAGTGAAAAGCATTTTAAAAGCCATAGAATCGCGTTTTAAATTCTTGTAATTGACAAACCCCTTGGCCTTTGTAAGCTTAATACAAAAAGGTGAAGAAATAAAGGAAAAAGAGGTAAGGGAAGGAGATAAGATAATAAAAAAAAGAAGAAAGAAATTAACGATAAAAATGATTGTTTTAATTGAAAAGTAATAGTACTAAGTTACTTTAGAAAAAAAAAAAAGGAAAAGTCAGTGGACTTTTCCATGTGTATTTATCACGTGGAATACCACTTAAAAAATTCTTGGGGCACGGACTATCCAGTGCCTTCGCAACACTTTTCCATTTTACCTACGTTATGAGTGATCATGGGAAACAAAAAGCCATGAAGAGCATTTCATAGATTTGGAAATCCAAATCTTTGTTTGTTCAATTTCCACATCATGCCACATTTGACTCACATATCAAGAATATATGTATTTTCTATTCCCAAAAATACATATTTAAATTTTTTATTTCTTTCAAAAATAAAATTCATACTATGTTAATTCTTTACGAGATTTCAAGAAATGGTGAAATTTATTATTGATTATCTCATATATTATAAGTTTTATTCATCTTATATCTAAATTAATTGATTAAATATATTTTTCCATTAAAAAAAAATCTTGTTATAACTTCAATATTGAAAAATAAACTTTCCTTTAAAAAAAGAAGAGGTAGGTACCAAACAAAAATCATGTAATCTCTATTTGTGCTTCTTACCCTATGTATTTAACTTCATTCTTTAATTGAAAATAAAGTTAGCATAATACTAACAAAATATTTTCATTTTTTTTACTGGTTGGATTGATCGAGAAGTATTAATTCCTCGTTCCCATATCTTTAATCCATTTTTTGAGCACTTTACAAAATTTTGAACATATAATAGACTATATAATGTTCTTAATACTTGTTATTTTTGAACATTATTTAAGATCCGATTGGTTGGCTTATTTGTAGAGGGGTTGAGGCTATGTATCAAGTAATAATAAATATACTAGCAATATAGAATATGAATATCTATCTATCCTTAGATGTAGGACATTAATATTATAGATAAATCATAAATAATTGTATATGTTGCTTTGAATTTGCCAGGGAAAAAAAATAATTGTACCAGCTATCTGTGGCAGGGTATCTCGTGTTATGGACCAGTTGGCCAAAGAATAAATAACTTGGAGAAGAGTAGAGACAGATCCCCAGAATTGAATCCATGGGTGGACGGTGGACTTTTATCAGCTCATGACTCGAGATCTACGAGAAGAAAATTTGCCTTAGAAAACCCAATGGGAAAACTGCAATCCTAGACAAAGAAAGAAGGAAAAACAAATTCAATGGTCAGTACCCAATACATAGAATTATATTTACTAGTCAAACCTTGAGAGAATAATTCCAAAACTGCACATAACAAATCAATTTGTATATGCAATGGTATTGGTTAAAGTGAAGCCAAAAACTTAGGTGCTTTGTCCGTTAACAATGCCTTATCAAGAAAATAAAATACTAGTTGTTTTGCTAACTTACATATATGACTTGTTGCTAAATCCTAATCATTAATTTTAATATAGTTATACTATAAGAGGTAGTACTATTCCTTTTTCTTCTGTATGAAATTATCTTTGTCAGTCACAGAAGAAAAGAACGTAAGAATCAAACCATCTTTCAATATGTAAATTGATTTTTTAAGGGAGGATTCAATGCGCCTAATGCTTAGCCAAGTTTTCAGGTGCAAATTGATTCCAATTTGTAACACGTTTTGTTACAGTTATTTTTATTTTTTCACTTGGAAAATGGATAATGTTTCCTAATAAAAAAGTCTTCAACGATTAAGGAAGCATCAGCTTAAACTCCGGAGGAGAGCTTTGAATCTTTTTGATAACTGCATTTTTCTGAAGTTGAGGGGATGGCTAAGTTGCTTCAGGCCAAGGCAACTTTTGAGTATCTTTAGATTTTCATATAATGTTGTTTTAGTTTATGCAATAGGATTAGATTAACCCTTAATTTACTTCATTTGTACAATCATATTTAGCAAGCTAAGCCAGCCTTTTAGCCGACATAAGCTCAATTGTATCTTCTCACGACTTTTAGATTATGAGTTAGCCAATTTGATAATGTGTTTGATTTCATTCTTTTAACCAAACCCTCTGATTCCTTGTACGAACAAAAGTCAACCTGTAATACAGTGATGAAACAATGGAAAAACAATAAGGAGAAGAATATAGGGATAAATAAAGTTCCACGTAATGCTGTTGTCTCAACTTGACTTTTCACTTTGAACGGAAAACGCAGTGGAAATGTCAGCAACCTCTGTGTCATTTCTGGCCCAAAGACTTTGATGACAGCTTTGAATTCTCATTTTTATTTACTTCATTTTTCATATCGTGCCAAAGGAAGCACTTTCTCCTCCTATAAATATATACCTTTGATAGGTTCAGCTTTCAGTTCTCATCCATCCCCAGCTATGCTAAACATGGCTCACTCTTTCGTTGGCTTCTTTTTGTTCTTTGCTCTCTTGGTTGGCCATGGAGTTGTGGAACTTGAGGCTTCACACCATGTTTACAAGAACCTTCAAACTGACCAATCTACTGCATCTGCAAATCAGCCTTACAGAACTGGCTATCATTTTCAGCCTCCCAAGAATTGGATAAATGGTATGTATTCCTTCACCTAATTATAATCTCTCAGGTGCCTTTTGAACTTTCCATTTTTTTCTTTTCTTTGCTTTCATATGTTATCTGTATTAACTTTATTATCTCCTGCTAAAGTTCATTTTTGTATCTCTAATTATGTGTCTTCTGGTTTCCTCGTTTTCTCGTCATTTGATGTGCTCTGACTTTGGAATGGACAAATGGCTACCTCTGGATGAACAGATCCTAATGGTAAGTTCCTTTTCCTGTTTCTTGTTTTTTGCTCCATGATTTTTTGTCCTCAAGCACATCCTTTGTTCTGAGAATTATTCTTAGATTAAAAAATAAAAAGGAAACCAGAAAAGCTGAATTCTAATCCTAGATTTCTATGATATTGTTGAATAACAAAAATGCCTAAACTTACTGCTAATTTACAGGACCTATGGTTTACAAGGGACTTTACCACCTGTTCTACCAATACAATCCAAAAGGTGCTGTCTGGGGCAACATTGTCTGGGCTCACTCTACATCAAAAGATCTTGTGAATTGGACCCCCCATGATCCTGCCATCTATCCATCCCATCCATCTGACGTCAATGGTTGCTGGTCTGGTTCAGCCACAATCCTCCCTGGTGGCAAGCCAGCTATTCTGTATACTGGAATTGACCCCCAAGACAAGCAAGTCCAGAATCTGGCCGTGCCCAGGAATTTATCCGACCCTTACCTCAGGGACTGGATTAAGTCACCAAAAAATCCTTTAATGCAACCCACTGGTCAGAATCAGATTAATGCAAGTTCATTCAGAGATCCAACCACAGCCTGGTTAGGCCCTGACAAGAAATGGAGGGTGATCATTGGAAGCAAAATTCATCGCCAGGGCCTTGCTATCCTTTACAAAAGCGAAGATTTTGTCCACTGGATTCAAGCCCAAAGCCCTCTGCATTCTGCTAAGGACACTGGAATGTGGGAATGCCCTGACTTTTTCCCTGTTTCAGTTCGTGGCCAAAATGGTGTTGATACTTCTGTTAATGGTCCTTTTGTCAAGCATGTGCTTAAGGTCAGCTTAGATGATACCAAGCATGAATATTATACTCTTGGCTCATATGATATTGTCAAGGACATCTATACACCTGACAAGGGATCTGTGGAGAGTGATTCAGGCTTGAGATATGATTATGGCAAATTTTATGCTTCCAAGACTTTCTTTGACACTGACAAGCACCGGAGAATCTTATGGGGTTGGATTAATGAATCATCAAGTGTCCATGATGATGTTAAGAAAGGATGGGCAGGAGTTCAGGTACATTTCCATCTAATTATTGATTGTTTATTAAGTAACTTAAGTCGAAAGTTCCAACCAAAATATAAGATGCCGAACAAAGGGCCTAGTCCAACCTTAACTAGTCAAAAACTTGATTTGATTACTATTTAATTCACACTTGAAAATAGCAAGTTTGGTTTGATGGTTTAATCAAGACACGAAGGTTTGTTTCTTGACAGCTGCAAAGTCTGTTCAAATCACCATTATGATCTCATTTTGCAGGCAATTCCTAGGAAACTTTGGCTGTCCAAAACTGGAAAACAATTGGTACAATGGCCAATAGTAGAAATACAGAAGCTACGTTCAAACCACATGCGCTTGCCTAGCAAATTGGTCAAGGGAGGATCAGTAATTGAACTTTCCGGTGTCACTGCTGCACAGGTAAGTTGGTTGTTTATTCTTCTTTATCTTAATCAATTGATGAGCAATTCATCCATTGCTGGCAAAGCCAGGCAATGGGTTTTTGCAATGTGCCCCGCCCATGTTGAATTTTAGAGTCCACATGTAAATCATATGGCAATTTGACATGCTTCTCCCACATATTTGATTATTCTTTTTAATTCCCCTTGTGCAGGCAGATGTTGAAATCTCATTTAAGGTAACTGACTTTGAGAAAGCTGAAGTGTTGAAACCAAGCTGGACCAACCCACAGCTCCTATGCAGCCAAAAGGGTGCGTCAGTTGAAGGTGGTCTTGGTCCATTCGGGTTGCTGGTTTTGGCTTCAGAGGGCCTAAAGGAGAACACGGCGGTGTTCTTCAGAATATTCAAAGGCCAGAACAAATATGTGGTGCTAATGTGCAGCGACCAAAGCAGGTCTTCCCCTAAACACGCTTAAAATTCTTCAAACCTTTTCAATTTTCTCCCAAAAGGACAAAATTCTTGAGCTCTTTGTGTTCTTTTATCGACAGGTCCTCCCTAAACGAAGATAACGACAAGACCACATATGGGGCTTTCCTGGATGTGGACCCTAAGCATCAATACTTGTCATTGAGGAGCTTGGTGAGTTGATTTAGATAATATATGGAATAAAAAGTATAGTTTACTTTTTTAAGGTTCAGAGTCAACCAAGTACCCCTGCTCAGTAACTTTACAAGAAGCAAGCATGATAGGGAAATCCAGCTTTCCAGCTTCCAAAACGTTAATTGAACATTTTGCAACGCCTTATCCAATTACCCAAACTCTTTCGTCCAACCGATGGGATTTCATTTTATTTCTTATATATACGAGATTTGATCAGATTAGGAGTTTAAACTTTTCAAGAAAAAGCAAGTTGGTAACTTGGTTCCATTTCTTCACCATAAACAGCTTTGCTTCTTTTTGACAATTACGTACGTCTTCTATCTGTGTTGATAGTGAAAGAGCCATCGCGTGTAGGGTAGCAGGCCCACTATCATCAAGTGGAAAAATTCAGACATCATTGAGAAAAAGATTTCTTTTACCATCCCAAAGTTTCAGGATTTGGAAATAATTTGAGATCAGATGATTCTTTCATTTTGGATAAGTTTTTGTCTCTTACACACTCCAAATCATCCTTCTTTTGCAGATAGATCATTCCATAGTGGAGAGCTTTGGTGGAGGTGGCAAAGCTTGCATCACAGCTAGAGTTTATCCCACCTTGGCAATTAACAACGCTGCCCACTTGTACGTTTTCAATAATGGGAGTGAGGCCGTGAAGATTGCAGAGTTGAATGCTTGGAGCATGAAGAAAGCCAAACTCAATTTGAAAGATTAGGTCAAAAGATACGGAGGATGAAGATCTGAGAATAGCAAACGACATTTTAATCATGGATTCATTGTTGCAAATAAAAAGATAGCTAGAGAGAAACCCATTTATGTTATCCCAAACAAACCATTTCTACTTTTAACTATATATATATATATATGTTATTCGCTTCATATTTTTATTATTACCCTTTTTTTTTTTGCTCAATTTTTATGATTACCATATACTATATGCTATAGATTCAATTAAGCTTTGTATTTCATCTCTTAGTATAATGAAGTAAAACTAATAATTCCACCGTAGATCAAGTTATTCAAACAAAATTCAATTGTATTGTATTGGATGTGGATGCCCTCCAATTGGTATAAGACAACATTTATCAGTGTTACACATCTTAACCCAATTATCATTTAATTCAAGCATAAAGTGGATTTAACAGGGATCTATCTACAATAATTGTGCTGAATTAATCTTCTAGAGTAGCCAGCAGCAAATGGAAATGTGCAGAAGTTCAACTTTAATGCTGCACTAAATGAAGAAGACAAGAACTAGTGGTATTTCAAATACTCAAACGAGGGAAAGGTGATGATGGCCCTTCAAGCTACGTGGCTGCTGCTATAAGCGAGGCGGCAAACAATAGTTTTCACATATGCCTCATATTTGTTGGGGAATAGTACTACTTTAAGTAATGCTGACAAGCAATGTGCTAATGACAGTGCATTGCCCTCCAAAAAATTGAGAATAAGGACTCGTCAAAAGCAAGCATGATATTTGAGCACGTAAAGAAGAAAACTGACTAAGCTTCCTTTTGTGGACTATGCGGCTATTAACAGGGCCAAGCATGCCTTGGAGGTGCAGACTGCAGAGCTAGAAACGAACCTGGCTTGAACATGCTCTTGTTGCTCCTTTCTTGCAAACTGGTTCTGATATATATATGGAATCTTAATTTGTTGGGTTTTTTTTTTTTCATTTATCAATGTGAAGCAAGCACCCATATCTATATCTTACAGTATATACTTGTTTAGCCTAGGTGTTATATTAGAAAACTGTCCTATACCTAGGAGATCTCAAGTTGGCAGATTTCTCTCCTATACCTCGGGTCATCAATGATATTACAGATGGTCTTGCCAAATCAACTAGAGCTCAGGTTTTCTGCTTTTGCATAGTTAATTTGTGTTGCAGCTGGAGAGTTGGAAGATTATTTCCTGTTTACTGGTTTACGTGTTCTACTGTGCATAGCAGCTTGCTTCTTTGCTCTTATGCTTTTGCTTTTCGTCTTTCTTCAATAAATTTACTTTTGTCTTTCAAAACATATAACTCAAACTCAGGTTAAAGAAAAATATATAGTATGAATGAACATAGCCAAAAGAAAAAAAGAAATAGACTCTTCTCTTTTCATCCCCACAAAGGGAAACATGGTCAGCTCTTTTTGTTCTTTTCTCACTTTGTTAACCATGGTGTTGTGGAGACAGAGCTTCATCTCATGTCCACGAGGGACTTAAAACTCTTGAATCTACTGTTTCTACAAATCAACCATAGACAAGTGTGCCTATCATTTCCTGCCTCTCAAAAATTGGATTTATGTTATTCATTACCCCTTCAGTTCCTCTTTTTTCTTTTTGGTTATGAATTAATTTACATCATGAATTTTGCGGTCTCTTGCTGCTCTGCTTGTTTGTATTTCTAGCTTTCTTTTCTCTCTCCCTCCTTTATGTTGTGAGCATAGATTAATGGACAAATGGTGGCACTGTTGACTCTTTTTCTTTTTTGGGATAGCCAGTTTTGAATTATTTGCCTAACAAGTTAGTGTTATTTGGCAAAATGAAAAAAAGTTGGTTTTATATGGCATACATCTAGATATCATGCGGGACCAATGATTCACCAAGGAATTTATCACTTGTTATACCAATATAGACCAGAAGGTGTGGTCCGGAGCCACAAGGCATGGGATCACTCTACATATACGGATCTCCTCAACTGAACCCCACCAATAATCATGCCATGCCATCTATCCTATCATTAGCCGTACAATATGGTCGGTCGCTGGTCTGGACCGGTTGGCCATTCTCTACACTGGCACAATCGACTCCAAAGACGGCCAAGTCCAAAAAAGCTACCGACCAATGCTTTAGAGAATGGATCAAGTCACCAAAAAATCCTCTGATGGCACCCACAACCCAGACCAAAATCAATGCAAAGTTCATTTAGAGACCCAACCACGCCTGGTTTGCCCTGACGGGTAATGGTCAGGGACTAGCACTTGTATACAAAACAAATGCAAAGATTTTGTTCATTTGGTTCAAGCTACCCACCCTTTTCAGTCTGACAAGGACACTGGAAGTGTGGGAGTGCCCAGATTTTTCCCTTCTTCTGTTCGTAGGCAAGATGGTGTTCAATTATTGGTCCTAATGTTAAACACGCGCTCAAAGTCAGGTTAGATGACACTATTGGAACATATGACCGTGCCAAGTGTATAAATGTTCCAGATAAAGGAGCTGTGGAGGGTGATTCAGGATTAAGATATAAATTATAGAATATTTTATGCTTCAAAGACTAGTTTTGACAGCAGCCAAGAATCAGCGAAATTTTTTGGGGTTGGTTTAACGAATCAACGAAGCTTCGATGATGATATCAAGAAAGGATTGTCTAAGATCCAGCAATGACCAATATCACATCTAAGATCCAGCAATGACCAATATCACATCTATATTTAGTGTCTTCGATATGAGTGCCCAATTTACAATACTTAGCAATGTTGCCATAGTTGCAACATGTTTAATTATGAAGAATGACTATTCAATCCTCGCCTCTTGATTTTGTTTATTTCTCTTCTTTTGATTTATTTAGTTTATAGATTGACCATTTTGAGAAAAATTGAAATCATTGTTATCGACCTCTCAGATAATAACTATTCCGAATTGACCGAAATGAATTAAAAAAAATTTGAACAAAAATACCCTTGCTAATTTTGTAAAATTACTACGTGATATATAATAAAACCTAACCCTAACAAACATAAATTTTCTTTCTCCTCTTTTTCCTCTCCTCTACCTCATTTACCTTTCTCTTGCTCTCTCTAAATTTCTCCACCCTCATCGTCTTCCAATATAGAAGATAGCGGCGAGGGCAATGGTCGACTGACGCCTCCAAAGCAAACTATTTTTCTAACTTGAACCTTTTTAAAATGATTTTTATTATGAACAAAAGAAAGAAGCTTTCTTATTTCCTAACTTTTGTTCCTAATCCCTGTCAACTAGGGAATTATTCTCCATTACCAAGCTAATTAAAAGATTATAAAACTTGAAAAATGGAAAAACAAATTCAAAACCTTCCAAAGGCTAATCAGAAAATGTTGAGAACATTAGAGGGACGATTTCAACAAAAGTTGCACGATACTATATTAACAGACCATTTACAATTTCAGTACTGCATAGGTTTAGAGTTTCCACTGCAAAATAACAGCAATGGCCAACCAAAGACTCCATAAAAGAAAAACATTAAAACAAAAGCAATGGGCAAACAATTAGGAAGTATATTGATCACTCAAAATTTTATGCAACCGACAAGGCATCAAAAATACTACTGTTGCTGGCACAGCGGAGGAAGCTCACCTTGCTGACCTCGACCAGCTTTTGCACTTCCATTCCTCTGCAATTTAAAGGGGACATTATCAAATCACAAAAACATCACATGCCTTGTAAAGCCCCACGTCTAGAGTGTACATATGGTACCATCTCATCATAGGCCCAATAACTGAATGCAGGAAATTTTCAACAAACGAAATGATAAATAGACGGAAATTCCAGAAACAAGCCAGTACAGAAGTTTAGGTGCAAGATTATGGGTTCAGTGAAATGTTAATTAGCTATTAACCTTTTTTTTCCCCTTGCCTTCTTCTTCCTCATCTTCCTCATCTTCTTCTTTGTCGCCATCCTCACCCTCTTCATCATCACCATCTTCATCATCGCTGTCATCATAATCATCTTCTAAGCCATGATACTCATTCCCCTGATCAGCTTCCCCCGTAAACCATGATACTGCATGAGGAATTAGTTTGTCCCGAATCGTCGAACTACACACAACACTCCAACATGTCACTTGAGCAACGAAAAAACAGATAAGATCCAAAACCTATCTCATACAAGCAAAGCGAAAGGATGACATATATCACTTATGGCACTAGTTTCTTCACATTTCAAGAAATAGCAATGAAAATTCTCACTAACAATTTTCCCTATTTTCATCTCTTATGTAACATCAATGACAATTCTTCTCAGTGCAAAATGATTTTATTCTAAAAAAAATACTAAATGAAAAACATTTTTAATGCCACAATGACCTTACCCTGGCTAGGTAATAAACAAATAAATCGGTCTTCTTATTATATCTAGTGAAGAGAGATACCAGAGACTCACCCAATGTTATAGTCATGCTCCATTCGATCTTGAAGTTCTTCAGCCTGTTGATAGATACATCAAAGAAACTCAGAAAAATAATCCATGCAATTATTGAATTTGCCTAGGCTTCTTATTTCAAAAGAAAATGCTGCACTTACAAGCTCATCATCAATATCATCATCATCATCAGGAATCTGAGGAGGGTTGAAGAAGTTGAAGAAACTTCTACAATTTTCAGTTTTTGTGACGGGCTTAACAATCTTCACTCCTTTTTTTGGCTTCTTTTTCAGGACCTTCTGTGTAAGGCATTTTCCAGGATACCATTCTATCTTCGTTCTACAAATTACCCAATGTTATAAGATATTTATAGAAGGGTAATGTAAAAGGTTCTCAGTACAGCAGCATACATTAACTTACCCAATTGCTTTCTCCAAAATGGGCTCATTTTCATCATCAACCACATGATATGTTTTTGCCAGGACAGAGTTCTTAAAATAAGGATTAGAATCAAAGAAAAATTCCAGCTTGAAACCCTTAGGATCATTGATTCTGCCCCACTTGATATCTTTAAGATACTTGAGAGCCCCTTCATCCCGCTCTGAAATCTATGCCAGAAAAGAATATATCATAACATACATTTTCAAAACCAAAGATAAAACTCCTTAGACAAAGGCTTATACAATTCACATACTTTGTCAGCCAACATTTCATTAGTTTTCATTGCAGTGAGCCAAAAGTCAGGCACTCCATTTTCTGCATTTAAGATTACATCAACCCAAGCTCAGGAATAATGCATTGATACAATTTCAGAAATATTGCCTGAGATAACCAAACTCCAATACCTTCTGCACTTTTATTCCCTTCTCCGTCCATCACAGCTTCATTCGTTTCTCCTTCAACTTTCAACACTCCATTCACAATTTCATATCTCTGCTTTATTATTATTATTATTATTGAAAAAGAAGAAAAAAGAATGAAGATAAAGAGGAAGCCTAACACAATCAGCCAAGCAATACCAGAAGAAATATGCATGTGACTAAATCAAGCCTCATGAAATAAGAAACATCATAACATACCAAGGTTGAGATATGAAATAATGAAACATTAACATCCCAAAAAAAAATCCCCACATACCTTTGTATAAAGCGGTTCATAAAATTTCTCATATTTAGCCTCCAATACAGCTCTCTCCTCAAAAAACTTCTTCTCCAGCTCATCATGTTCACTCTGCAAATTGAATGTGTGTGACGGTATCCTTCTTATAAAACCAAACAAAGTCATAGTCTAATACTCCAACTAATTTCAGGAGCAAGAGTGTCAAACTCCAATTATATTTAACATCACCATTCTTCAGCCAAATCCCATCACTGTAAGTGTTAAAGACCAAGTGAAAAATCATCTTAAATCCCACCATCAGTAATATGGTAAATAGAAAAGTCATACAAGGAAATCTGGTTTTGAGTTCAAGGAAAGTTGATACTAAAAGAACCAAAGAAAAAATAAGAGCAAAGCTTGAAAACACTATGAACATTATAGTTATACACGGTGTGCATGAGCCGTACTTCCTATCAACTGCTCAGGTATTCATAAAACCAGTATTTTAGGATATGTAAGTAAGGTCTCTCTGAGTAACTCAACATATTAACTAGGAGAAAACAAGCAATTTTGAGAACAACAGTCAGAGAAACCAAACTACAGAACGTTTATGCCTGAATGTCAAACTGTTGTGACTTATAAATCAAACAATCAAAGCTGCCACAATTGAAAAGTGATCCATGTAACTTATTCAAACATCAATCAGGATTCCAATAAATTATCCTCAAACAAGCACAGCACGCTCATTAGCATTTGTTACTTTTACAGAGCAAAAGTTTATTTGCAGGGCAATAAATTGGCAAACCACAAATTGCCAACTCCCACTCAAAAGAATGACGGTGAGTTTCTCCAAGTAAAAACCAATATAACAACTTTGAGAAGCTAGCAATCTTGATTGGGGTAAAGCATGAATAGGCATGTTGAATCACATCACTCAAATTGCCAACAAGGAGCATGTAATTAGATGTACAATACACAGGTGCATGGAGTCAAACAACAAAACAGGAAGAAAAAGAGGAAGAGACTTTGAAAAGGACACAAACCTGAGTCTCTCTGAGAACCTCAACACGCTTTCTGACATTTGGTGATAAAGTTTCTAGAATATCAGTATGTTGTCCCGCTAAACTTTGAAGCTTATTCTGCAAAAATAGTCAAGAAAAGAGGGGAAAACACACAAATCTAAATCACATCGTAATAACAACACAACTTCACAGCTCACATACCATCCTCAAAACTATGTATATGAATGGTGAGCGGTCAGTGCTCAAAACTTTAACACTGCTTCTAAATAATACAAGCTAAGCATTACTTTCATATGCTTGTTTCTATTCTAAAAAAGACTTCCATTCCATTTTGACACGAAAATAGAAAAGCAGAAGCATTATAAATAACAAGAATCACTTGCCTTAAGCGCATTAACAAGTCCGGCGCGATCTTCTGCGCTAAGAGCTAGAGACAGAACAATGAGATGATCAAGAAACTTCAGACAATCTCAAATACTGATTAATCAGACACTGATTTCAAATAAAATCACAAGCGAACTCATAAAAAAACTGCCAAATAGGTAAAAGATAATCAAAAGGATTATTCCACACGCCATTTTAACAAAAGCGAGACAGGAAGAACGTAAGGGTTTAAGGTGGGATACCGGCAGCAGCAGCCGGGATGGCCGCGCGGAGGTCAGACACGTCGACGTTATCTGCGTTGGCGTTACTCATTTTCTGGCGTAAAATGGCTGTTTGGGAAGCGAGAAAAGGAAAAGGAACGGGAAAGACAAAGGCAACCCCAGAACAGGAAAGAGAGGGAGTGAGAGTGAGTGATACGAATCGTTATTTTATTGGAGAGTAAAGTGAGGTAGTCCCAGAGACACTGACTGAGGGCGGTAGTTGAATGCCACGCGCGGTTGAGGAACGTCCTACTTAACAGGAAGTGGATATGTCAGTTGGACCCACAAAAACCACCTGAACTGACAGTTTTCTGATGACAAGATTAAACGGCTAATTTGCCGCCTTTTTTTTATAAATAAATTTAAATCTAAAAAATGAGAAGAAAATAAATTTAGGCAGAAAAAGATAGAAAGGAGGATATGGTTTCATTTTATTTTGTAGGATTGAACTGACATTACCATAAATCCATAAGAACAGATCAATTAATGAAATTATTGGAGAAATATATAGTACCATCAATGAAATGTGTGGAGATTCGTACTAACTCTATTTATCAAGATTTTTTGAAATTTGAAATTTGAAATCTGAAATGCTGCTTGTAATGCTTTCTTTGTAGTACTACTTTTCAACCACCTTGTTGTTTTATTTGTTTATTTGGAAATTTGGCTTTTACAGGGTAAAAATAATAAATAGAAATAGCATGCATTGTTTCATTAAAAATTTCGATGAATTTGTACTTAAAATTGGTTTTTGGATAATTCAGTGAATGGCTTTTATATAGTGGTGTCAAGAAGAAGAATGATGATGCAGTTTCTTTCTTTCCGGTCTCTTATAAAACTGAAATGAAGTGTTTCTATGCTTTCCACTTCCCAATTCCCATGCCATCCTAACCCAAACAGATCAAAAGTTTTAAGTTTCATAGCAGTTTGAAATTTGAATGCCCCTGACAGATTTTCCTTCCCGGAAATGAGATTAGCAAGCATTTCTACATCAGAAATATGCAAGTTGCAACAAAAGCAGAGGCATCTTCACCTCCTTTGTTAAAGCCTTTTAAGGCATATTCCTCGGATGCAGGTCATAGCATTCATCTGGTGCTCCTAAAAGAAACAAACCGAATAGCCTATGGACTATATATATCAGAAAAAATATATATACCTCATTGAAATTAGCCTTACAAAAGATTCAAGAAATAAACTACAACACTTGTTACATACTCATTGTTCTTCACCCCATGTTTGCAGACAAGACAACCACTCTTAACTTGGATGTCATGCTAGTTAAAACAGGTTAAATGGGAAAGCTGTCTACTTACTTATCATCCTCGTTGTCCTCATCTTCATCATCAAAATCTTCCTCCTCTTCTTCATCCAATTCGCTTTCTTCTTCTATTTCTGCATCATCGTCCTCCACAATAAACCCTCCGAGTGTTTCATCATCTTCATCTGCACCGTTTCCTTCCCCTGCAGAAACAGATTTCTTCTGCACAGAACTTCTATTTTTTCCACCACTATCCTCCTTTGATTTGTCACATTCCTTTGATCTCGTAGAATAAACTGCTCTCCGAACCTTTCTCTCTTTCGCGATAACCTCCTTATCATCCTCACCCTCACCAGTCCAGTCGTCATCATTGTCTCCTTTCCTTCTCTTGTTTCCCTTACCGCCCCTCCTCCTTTCTCCACCAGTTTCATCATCATCCTCGCTATCTTTTCCGGATTCCTCCAGGAACCAGTCCCAATTCTTTATATTACGGATGCTTTGATTCGGATACTGATCAAACTCATGCCCCATTACGAGAAAGCCAAATTCTGCGTTTACCACTTTATTATCCAACTAGGAAAAAGAAACTTGCCAAGTATGAAAGTTACAAAACAGTTCAAATGAAAGATGATTAAAATGAATCTTCCTGGATTTTCTTTTCTCAGTGATTGAACTCAAACTGAATCTAACGAACGTAACAAAGAAAAAGTCATTCTCACCTTTAACATGGTCAATATCTTCTATGTCAACAGTCTCTGCTCCACTCTCACTCCCTAAATCTCTCTCTTCTTCTTTCCCATTTTCTTCACTCTTCTTCAAGACAAACCAAACAGGGATTCGACTCGAAACGCAGAGCCAATCGCCATCTGCCAGCTCATCTTTGTCGGAATTTTTAAAAACCTTTATCTCTCCGTTTGTTCTGCTACGTACCCAAACCGGGTTCGTGCCTGTAACTTCGAATGAAACCCTAGGCTCCTTTTGGGTCTCGCCTTTTTTGTCGACCAGAGTTTCGAGCTCCAGTAAAACGTGATGGCGAGACACGGTCCGGTCGCTCGTGTTGAACCCTGAGCCTCTTCCGAATACGGTCTTGAAACCATACTTTAGCGCCAATTTTGAACCATTTGTTCCTTCGATTTCCATCACCTTTGCCCCTGTTCTTTTAACAAATGTTTGGTCGATTGAATTTTGAAATGAACATTTTGGATCCTTAATTTTGGCTTAGGCGCTCCGCGCCGCCATAAAGACGGCACCGTTTATTTGCTGATTTTCATCCCCACCAACGAATGACTTTCTTTAAATAATAATATTTAATTAATACTAATAGCAAAAACTCTTCAGAATCCAAGGGGAATGAGATCACGTTACATCCTTTGTAACTTGCTCAATTACATTCAATAAATCACTATAATATAATAAGATTATAATGTAATTATATTATAATTAATAAATATAATATGATTACAGTTTAAAATCAATATAGTCACATTATATTGTACCTTATAGTGTTATTAATGATATTTTTTTTTTAATTTTATTATTTTGTTAAAAATATTTTGTAGTATTATAATTTTTTATATGTATAAATTTTAAGAATATCTTTTATTACTCTCAATAGTCATTTTCTTTTTGATGGTGGATGGTAATTATTAATAAATTTTATATTTTTTTAATAAAATAAAATATATAATATTAAATGTAAAAATAAAATATATAAGATTATAATAATAAATGAAAATAAAATCATATAATATATTAAAAATATATTTTAAAAAATATTATATAAAAATTAATAACAAAAATACAAGTATGTTAAATTTATATTTTAATAAGTAAAAGTAATTTTAAAAATTTATATTATATTCTCAGTAAAAAATTTATAAATCAAATATTATAATGTTATTTTTTATATATTTTAATTATTATTTTATTTATATATCAAATACTACAATGTTATCTCCTCTGGATCACATTACTTACAATTTATATTATTTATAATCATACTTAATTATAAAGTATCACCTTAATATTAAACTTACTAAAAAAGATAATATTCTTTTTATAAATGTTATTTTGTTTCATCCATTGTTCGAGAATCTAATCTATTTCAAAGTGGCTTGATTGATATTGTTTATGTTTTTCATTTATTCAGTTGCTTTCGGCTATTTATCTTGCAAATCCTCCCTCAACCATCAAGTATAACTTCTTTTGGATGATTCTCTCATTTTTTTGGTGAAGTAAGAAGTAAGTTATACCTACCCATTCTAGTATTCAGTCTGAATATCATGCTTTTACATATGCTACTTCAAAATTACTTTGGTTTTGTTGATTATTGGAGGATACGGGCATCGCCCAGTCTTTTGCCATTGTCCTTCACATTGATAATCACAGAGCTGTCCAAATTGCTTACAAATCATGTGTTTTATGAGCACACCAAATATATTAAAATTAACTATAATTTTGTGCTTCATCATGTCACTCGAGGTACTCTCCATCTTACTTTCACGTCTTGTTCAAATCAAATTACTAATGTCAGGTGTCAAAAACTCATATTCCGTACCATCTTAAATTTGGTGGAGAGTGTTATAATTATACTAAGCGTTCGTTTAGTAATTAAAAAATAATTTATTTGGTAAAACTTTTTTATGTATAAAATATGTTATAAGAAAATTTAATATTTTAAATTATTTAAATAAATAATTGAAAATATTTTCTGTTATTTGAATTAGACAAAAAATGTTATAGATATAAATTTTTTGTCTTTTTATCAGGGTAATATATTATATATATTCTATAATATAAAAATTAAATACAAAATTTTACCTATTTTTCTTGTCTGCTGTACTATGGCTGGTTAATCACTACTGCTGAATCAAAATGAGTCCATAAAGACAGGTCTCTCCTCACGGGGACACGGGAGAGCGACTCAACCCTATGCAAAACCCAAGAAAAGGGGCGGAGGCGGGAAAATTTAGTAGACATAAGGAAAACAAAGGCAAAAAGAAAAACAAAGAGAGAGAGGAGAGAGAAACTAGAAGAAGGGAAAGGGGAGGGAAAAAAATGAAGGCTGAGAAAGGGAGATCGGTGGAGGAGAGATACACACAATGGAAGTCTCTGGTGCCTGTCCTCTACGATTGGCTCGCTAATCACAACCTCGTGTGGCCTTCTCTCTCTTGCCGGTCCGTACACACACACTTTCTTTCTCTCTCCCGCCTCTCTAGGGCTTCCACTTTAAGAATTTTTGATAATGTGTTTGGATTCTGAGAAAATGAAGGAAAGAGCTAAAAGGGAAAATAAATAATTTTTGCAATGTACCAAATGTTTGATGTTGTTTTGGATTTTATATTTCTGTTTTTGATTTTTTTAGCCGCATTTAATTTCTTTTTTGTTAAATTTGATATTGTTATAATTAGTAATTTTATGCGGTATGGAAAATGGTGATGAATATGCAACTCTTTTAAGTTACAGAGTTTCAACCATCAAACTGGAAAAGGAGTGGCAGTTATATTTTGTAGTTTTCTTATTTTAGGTGGGGCCCGCAACTAGAGCAAGCTACTTACAAGAATCGCCAGCGTCTTTACCTTTCAGAACAGGCAAGTCGCTGTTTGTGGAAGAATTTGAAATTGGATCCTTATTGTTCTATGACTATGTTTATATCTAACAGAAGAAAATGGCAGTTACCCTTGGTGCAACATTTGAACTGGAAACTTTTTATTCGAAGTGGGTTATTGAGTTGCTCTTTGTCCGTTAATTCTAGTAAATGAGAGAAGTTTACCGGGAAACCCTATTGATTTTTTTTTTTTGCTTTTTAGAGCTGCAGACATAAAACATTATTGTGTTTTTGAAATTTTTCCATGCTAGAGAAAGAAGTGTGAACTTATGGCGTTTTTTTACTTGGCTTTATACATACCAATTTACCTTAGAGAACGGTAGTTTGTTCTGATTGAGTCTCGACATTCTTTTGCTTGTTTTTGGATTCATCCTGGTTGCTCAAGTTGCATTTGTGTGTACAACCAGACTGATGGAAGTGTTCCAAACACACTTGTGATAGCGAACTGTGAGGTTGTTAAACCTAGGGTTGCAGCTGCAGAGCACATCTCTCAGGTGATATGATTTATAATACTATTTCCCTTTTCCCTATTTAGCTCATATGCTTTCCTTTATGATCAAAATTTTTATCTGGATTTTGTCTAAATTATTGGAATTGCTGTGGTATTCGTTTCTTGCTTGATTTGCAGTTCAATGAAGAAGCACGTTCTCCCTTTGTGAAGAAATATAAAACTATTATACACCCTGGCGAGGTATTTGTGACTCCCATTCTCCTCTTGTTTTAAACTTAACTAAGTAGTTGCTCTGGTAGTTTATTGATCTGATATAAACTAAGTTTTGATTAAGATCGTGCCTCCATGCAGTAGTTTTTAAATACTGCAATAAAAATGGAGAAAAAATAGATTGCTTTCTAGAAAGGACAGGGTTTATTCAAAGAACTTCTGATATAACTTAATACACAAGAGAAAGTAATTTATCTATTAAGTTATATGAAACCTTTCTTTGTGATTCTCTAAATGATGAAACTTTCTTGTAACTCCAATGGAACTTTGAATGAACCCGTTGGAGTCATTTAGCATGCTATGATTGTCATTTTGCAGGTGAATAGAATCAGAGAACTTCCACAGAACAGCAAGATAGTGGCAACACACACTGATAGTCCTGATGTAAGCATTTATTACTTTCATCTTTTCTTTCAGATAAAGAGAACTAAGGATGCAAAGATATCTATGTTTGTTTTTGTTGTATTTGAAACGTATAAGCCATTGATGGTCAATGTGGACTGAGTAGTTTGAATTTTCGACATAGGTCCTCATTTGGGATTTAGAGGCCCAACCAAATCGTCATGCTGTGCTCGGAGCTACAGATTCTCGCCCAGATCTGGTGTGTGCCGAAGGGAATTAAGTTTTTGATATTTTTATCAATGCCTTTTCGTCTTTAATTTTCATTTGAAAATTTTGTGACTATATCTATTTACTTACCCATAACAATCAAGCCAATCTGCTTGTTTAGTTATCCAAAAAGAAAAAATATCTGCACATTTCATGATTGCATTAATTACATTAAAACTTTTACTTACAGACCTTCAGAAAATTATAATATCAGCTTCTGCTAGATGGAAATTTCATATCATGTTCTTGTCATCAGGTTGTCTTTAACTTAGAATCTACTATCTTACAGATATTGACTGGACATCAGGATGATGCTGAATTTGCTCTTGCTATGTGCCCAACTGAACCCTTTGTGCTATCTGGAGGTTGGAATCATTTTGTTACTTTCATGGACTTTTAAAATCTTTGTATAACGTAATTCTTGGCTAGGCCATAGGTACATAACATAGGGTGCATATGCATGTTGCTTTGCATATTTACTATTATTATTCAAGTGTTACGGAGTGATGTAGTTGTCATATGTTCACATTTTATTCTTCTTACTGTATTTGTCAAAATAAGAAACTATGTTTGATGCAACTGCTACTGTAATGAAACAAGATTTTTCTTTTAACTTTTAAAAATAATATGCTTCTCAGAAAAAAGAACTTTTAGAAATATGCTTGTTAAATTGGATATAAACATAATATTTACCTGGTATATTAATGCATTTTCTTCTCTGGATATGTGATTGACAATATGACTTTTGTTCTCTTAGCTTTTGGCGGCCATTGGGGTGAGACAGCTTATGGTCTTAAACCAAGGCTTAGTCTAGTGGTAATTGTGGTGATCTTACTCAGAGTCTTTGGAAACATGTTATCAACTTGAAGTGTAGTTTTTGGTATATTGAATTGTGGCACTCCAGTAGTCAATTCTTATCATGTGTTGGTTCGTTGAGGGGCACTACCATCATTAGGGATTGTTTTATCACCCTTCCAAAGTGGATGGTCAGACAATCTGTCTTATTTTCTATTGGTTTTGTCTGATTTTTAAACTTCTTGAGGCCAATGGACTTTACATGCACCTTGTACCTTTGCAATACAATCAGCTTATTCCAATTACCTTGGAGAAACTGGAAAAAGTTGGCACTATAAGTATATACTTTAATGTATGCCTGCATGCAATACTCCTTCTGGAAAATTTAAATAATATACTTACTGTTCCATGTGCTGGAAACTTAATCAATTATTTTCCTCTATGTCTGTTACATTTTGGTTTTCATCTCAAATAATCCTTCTGACCAAGGAGAGTTACTGGCAGGCAAGGACAAGTCAGTGGTTTTGTGGA